GAAATACAAAGAACTTGCTTTTGGTACGACCCTAAATGGTTTTTCTAGAGGACCGAACCATTTGTGTACGAGCATAATTGGATGATTTCCATGCAGTGATGACTCTCTGAGGTTTTCTCATTACCGTTGTGGCTGCTGATTAAACCACAGCAGCTACTGGGGATTCCACATGATAGGTTTTCTTCCCCCTGTCATTCTCACCCCCTTTTTAAAAAAAATCAATAAACACTCCAGTGGCATGGTGGGGCTGGCCACAGCGCGAGACCAGAGGATGGGAAACGTGGCTGATGTGGACTAGACTGGGAAGGATCTGGATTTTCCTGTCTGCATGGCAGACACCTGTTTGGGGCTCCGGCCAGAAGATCCGGGTTTGCAAAAATTCCCAGGGAAAAGATATGCTTAGATCCAGGTGTGCTTACAAGGAGATTTTAATGAACAATGATCAAGATGATGATGATGATGATGATGATGATGATAATCTTTCAATTTATTGATTGCTCAATCTTTCAGAGCTTGCTGACTCTGAGCGATTTACAGTTACTCATTTTTACGAGGGACTAACAATGATTTGTGGGGTAAGGGAGGACGACATATATACATCTTAAATCACACACATTCGCAGCCGACGAGGGTTTCGTTCAGTTGAAGATGAGACGTGTTCTGGTCAGCATTTTTTCTCGGCCTGGTTTGATGGCGTCAGCTTTTCTCCAGACTCCTTCGAGTTGTAGCGCCGCACTGTCACCGCCTGGCCGGAACAGCCCATTACAGGCTTTCTTCATGCCGAGAAGATCTCTCTAGGCTTTCCGATCTTGCGAGCTGGACTTCCGTTCGTCGGCTAACACCACGGGGGGGGGGGGCGGTTCAGTGTGCCCAATCTCTCTAAGGAGTGGTACCCATTTTATCTACTCGCCGAAGCTTTCGAACTGCTGGGTAGACGGCAATTTGGGGACAGGGCTGGTAGCTCACACCAGCGCGGGGCTAGAACTGACAGCAAGCCTGTTCAGCTCAGATGTTACTATTATAACCAGAGGATAACTCCTCTGTGCCACCGCTCCATCCTTTGGCATTGTGTGTAGAGTAACCATGAGATTCTAAGATTGTCTGGCAGACAAAAGTTCTAGCTCTTCGTGTTATGCTAGTGTCGAGCTAGACTTGTTTTTAGAGGCTGAGAGAGCTCTGAAAGAACTTTGACTGACCCAGTTGGCTTCATGTGGTCGAGTGGGGGAATCAAACCCAGCTCTCCAGATTAGAGTCCACCTCTCTTAACCTCTACTCCAAGCTGGCTCCAAGCTTACAGAAATAGAAGGCTCAGCTCCCATCCGCTGGGTCTCAAACACGCACACACACACAGCAGAATGTAGCCAGTCCTCGAGACGAGATGCATCGCTAAAACTAAGCATCTTGTACCCTAACTGCTGGCTACGAGTCAAAAAGTTATCAATCAAGCTATCCCAAACACTGAAATGAGGCAGGCCATCTTGCACCTGGCGTCTGGTGGTGAGAGAAAACAAATCAGGCTTCCTAGATAAGAGCTGCTAACAAGTATGAGAGAGAAGAATATTCTCTTGGGAGTGCCACCTCTGTGCCACCGCTCCATCCAGGCAACTAAAGGTCAAGCACCAGCCTGTAACAAAGATGGAGTTGCAAAGGCTATACACGGCCTCCAGTTGGCTGCCATCTTTCCCAAAAGATCGTAGTAGGAAAGATCATAGAAAAACTGGACGAAGAGCTAGAAGATACACGAGAGGCCACTGCTGTTGTGTGGCAGTGGGAGGGGAGAATGTGTCCCATCAGCTGCAAAACTGGACCACGCCCCTGGTGTAGAATCGACCTGAGCCACTTTCGCTATACCTCCTACGCAAACAGGTTGGGGATTGTTTAAGGATTTGTTTTGTATACAGAGGATGTGTTGCAACCACGTCTGGGATTTCGGTTTGTTTTCACCTCTTTCCCCCAAACTTCCCTTTGTTAAGCAGGGTGGGGTGGGAATGGAAACTGCAGAGCCAGGTGAAAACCAAACCCAGATCAGTCACCCACCAGGCTGCAAGATATATTTATTTTTTAAACCAAAGATGTTGGCTGTTTCTCTCTTCAGCAGAAGAGTCAAGGGCTTTATCCTTTGTGTTGAGGTTTAAATCACAATGGGTTGGAACGGGTACAGTTGCAGTTCAGACGGGGGAGGGACGATGGAATATTATTCAATGGGGAAGGTGTGGTCAGAGACCCGCCCTGCCAAGTGAGAAGGAGCAACTTACCTGCTTATGACCCAATTAACAGCAACGGAGTGTTTTTATTTCTCTCCTCGCCTTTGGCGCAATGTCAACCGTGTTTTTGGAAGGATAAACAAAGTTGTCTGTCACTCTCCTCGTCATCGTATCTGTCATCTGGAAATTAGACTTGTGCAGTATTAAATTTTGTAGGGCTCCACCTTAAGCCCGAATCAAGGCTGGTATACAAAGAGCAGCTCGATTACAAAGTCAGGATTCTCACTGTCAACATCGACTGGGGTCTAAAGATGCGCAAGTGTACATTCCACTCATAGGCCCCGGTCACATGGGCCGGATAATCCACAGGGGAACGGAGGCTTTTAGTTGCGGAGAAAAAAGAAGTGCGGTAGCACAATCTCACGTTCCCCTGCAGCGCCGTCCTCCGGCCGTCAGCAGCCGATCAGACCAGCGAGGCAACACAGCAGGACCGTGTTTGTGCGCATGTGCCTGACGCGGATGGCTGCTGGATGTGACAGGCTACCAGCGCATCTCCGATCAGACGCCTGCCCACGCCACACATTTACTAGAAGATAGTACTTCAAAGCAGGTAGTTTTTAACTCCAGGTTTTCCGCGGGAAGCCATGGGTTGGCCGCGGGTACGCTCCACTTACCAGATTTGGCGGTGTGATCGCGCCCAAATAATCCACCCACCACCTGTGGCTCTCCTGCAGCTACTTCTGCGTGTGAACGCAACCATAGTTCTTCTTTAGAGCCCTTCAGTTGAATTACATGGTACAGCCTTTCCCAGGACTGCCAGTGGAGTAGAAAAGAGCAAGAGTCCAGTAAGCCCCTTAAGGACGGACAAAATCTGTGGCAGGGGAGGAGGTTTCGTGAGCCACTGCTAGAATGTGAGTCTATCCATCCTTGTATCTTGGAGAGCGGTGTGATTTCAGACGGAGGATTGCATGTTTGAAGGTGCCCCTGGCAGCAGAGTTTTGTTTCCCGTGGATCAGAAGAGGGTTCTAGTTTAGCCTTCCTGCACTCATGCTGGTTTCTAACTTCCAACTCTTGAACGCACATTGATTTTTAAAAATTTAACTGAGACTGATTGAGAAATGAACTTGCTTCAGAATCAGGGACCATGTGCTTGGGACTCGATGCCTTTCAACAGAGAACATCATGGGTAGAGGGGTACGAGATGGATCTTCGGTAAAACTTTTGTACAGTAAGAGTCGTGCCACAGTAGAATCAGCTGTCTTGGGAGGTGGTGAGCTCCCCCTCATTGGCGGTCTTCAAGCAGCAGCTGGACAAACACTTGTCAGGGATGCTCTGGGCCAGGGTGTGTGTCAAACTCATTAGTTACGAGGGCCGGATCTTACTTTATAGGGCCAGGTTGTGTGTGCCATAAAATGTAATAAGACAAGACAAATGTGGACAAACACGACCTAATCAGAGAACTATAAAGAAAACAGTCGTGTGTGTCTGACCCACAAATCAAGCAGTCAACAAGACTTGCAAAGAAAATGCTCACTATGTATTACAGTCTAAAGCACTACAACACAATAAATCAATTCCTACAAATCATAAGAAAATCCTAGTGCAAAGGTACATAATCAACATCGGATTATATAACGTTTCAAAATTGGATCTTCCTCAGGAAATGTTAGAGTGGTACAAAAATTCCCCTGTTCATAAAGTGCTTTACAAGAAGTCATGAAAGATCTGCAGTATAATAATGTTCCTAAAATATTCAGATAGGACGCTGATCTCAGTAAATGTTCAGGCTCAAGTATGCTGCTATGCTTCTAATGGATCCTAGGCGTCTACCACTCTAACATTTCCTGAGGAAGATCCAATTTGATAGCAATGCTGGCTCCGTGAACTCAGGCAGATCACGAGAGGGAGGGCAGGAAGGGTTGCCTCCGTACTTAGTTCTCGTGGCCCTTTCTTACACACCCAGGGAAATGCTGATCGCCACTTTGGGGGTCAGGAAGCAACTTTCCTCCAGGTCAGTTTGGTCAGGGATCCTGGAGGTTTTTTGCCCTCTTCTGGGCATGGAGCAGGGGTCACTGGGGGGTATTTGTGAATTTCCCGCATTGTGCAGGGGGTTGGGCTAGATGACCCTAGAGGTCCCTTCCAACCCTAGGATCCTATGAGAACCCAGCACTCGGTGATCCATTATCCCAACCGGTCTGTGGCTAAATTCCACATCTGCCGTCTCTGGAAGAGATTTGTTGGGAAGTGGGCTTCTTTAAAGAGTTTTTGCAGGAAACAGGCACTGATTTTTGCCTCAGAGCAACTGTAAGGTGAGAAAACCCGTACCTATGGAACTGTTAAAATAAATGGCACTTTGAGAGATGGAATCGCCACCTTCAGTAGTGAAGCCTTGGAATCAAGTCACTGAATCGCCTTCTAAACTTTCAGATCTATTTATTTATTTATCAAACTTATACCCCGCCCTCCCCGCAAAGCGGGCTCAGGGCGGCTTCCATAAAAGCATAAATACATTAAAATACACAATATTAGCCATACAATGAAACATTATAAATACAAAGTGCTGGCGGCAGATTAAATTAGTCTAGATGGTATATTACAGGAATAAATTGCCACTGCCCAGATGTTCCGCGATGTTTTCTGCTCTTAGTCCATTTGTTGTTAAAACCATGGGCCAGGCCTGCAGTAGGAGCCCTGCCGTAGGCAATCTAAAATTGCCTAGAGTCGATCCAATGACCAAGGCTTTTTAATTCCGTCATCTCGTGTAATATTATTCTTTGTGCTTTCTCTCTTCAAAAGGCTGGATTACAGCGGACCCTCGAGGGAGTTTTTTTTCCTGGTATCCAGAGAGCTCTTCAACCCGTATTATGGCCTATTTGAATATTCTGCCAACGATACTTACACTGTACAAATAAGTCCCATGTCTGCTTTTGTGGACAATCACCATGAATGGTAAGAATGATGATTACTTTTTTTTTTTTAAACTGTGTCCTCCCTTGAAAGAGCTCAGCAAGGCAATCTTCATGGCTGTCCCCTCATCTATTTTATCCTTATAATAGAGCCAGCACGGTGAGGTGGTTCAGAACAGCGGACTCTAATCTGGAGAGCCAGGTTCGATTCCCCGCTCCTCCACATGAAACCTGCTGGGTGACCTTGGGCCAGTCACAGTTCTCTCCGAACTCTCTCAGCCCAACCTGCCTCATGAGGTGCCTATTGTGGGGAGAGGACGGGAAAGCAATTGTAAGCCACTCTTGAGTCTCCTTAAGGTAGAGAACAGTATGGAAACCTACTCTTCTGCTTCCTTATAACAATCCTGTGAGGTTTGATTCCCTGCTCTTCCACATGCAGCTGCTGGTGTGACATTGGGTCAGTCATAAGTTCTCTCAGAGCTGTTCTGTCAAGAGCAGTTCTCAGGAGAGCTCTCTCAGCCCCACCTACCCCACAGGGTGTCTGTTGTGGGGAGGGGAAGGGAAAAGGAGTTTGTAAGCCACTCTGAGACTCCTTCGGGTAGTGAACGGCAGGGTATAAATGCAATCTCTTCTTCTAATTTAGGCCAAACAGTGGTGACGAACCAATAGTCGATTATTGAGCTTCATTACCCAGGTCTCCCCAGACTTAAGTCGGAGACTCTAACCACTGCATTACACTTCCTCTCATAATTTTCTGTTATTTCTTTGGAGTATCAGATATTACAGGAGTGATTTTTCTCATGCCACTGTGGCATTTTTTGTTTGTTACCCTCCTATGTTGTGTTGAGTGCAGCTCTGTGGTGTCTGTAGATGGCTAATGTGGCTTTTGCCAAATCCTCTGGGCTCCACATTTGTTCTAGAACACTTGACAGTCTCTTGCTTTATCAACACTTTGGGCGTGAAATGCGGAGTAACATTAAACACTGTTTGGGAGTCCAGTCAGCCAGCAACAGGAGATCTCAGTCCTTCTTTATCACATCTCTTTCAATGAATACAGATTAGGGCAGGGGTCATTTCCTGCAGGAGCACACAGGAGCGGAGCTCCGGCAGTAAAAAGCCCAGGGGGCGGGCACATGCAACAAGCCCCACCCCCTGCTCCCAGCAGCCCTCAGTCAGAGCAAAAAGCAGCCAGGTAAGTTGCAGAGCCCCCCCCCCCGGCCCAAAACAGTCCAGTGACACCTTTAAGACCAAGTTTTATTCAGGTACAAGCTCTCCCCTCCTCTGCGAGGACAGATCTGCATGTTCTCCCCCCCCCAATAGCTAGCAATCCAAAACAGTCCAGTGGAGCCTGAGCGGTGGGTGTTGCCTTCTGACACACTTCCGGTGATGTCAGGGGGTGTGGCCTATGCAAATAAGTTATGCTAATGAGCTCCTGCACCTCCTTTTCTACGAAATGACCCCTGGATACAGTAGTGGCCCAGCCAAACTACAGTCCAACAAAAAGTACTAGGTACATGACTCCAGAGTAGCATGTAAAAAACTATTTACATCATTATAGAGATTTCTTTTCCCCTCAGTGCTGGCACCAAACATTAAATGCTAAGAAGAAGAAGAAGACAAAGAGATTGGATTTATACCCCACCCTTCACTCAGACTCTCAGAGCAACTTACAATCTCCTTTCCCTTCCCCTCCCCACAACAGACACCCTCTGAGGTAGGTGGGGCTGAGAGAGCTCTTTTCAAGGACTGCTCCTGAGAGAACAGCCCTGAGGCAACTTGTGACTGACCCAAGGTCACCCCAGCAGCTGCATGTGGGGAAGCGGGGAATCAAACCCGGTTCTCCCCGATTAGAGTCCGCGCTCCTAACCACTACGCCAAACTGGCTCTCATTTCAGACCAGACCAGAACTATTTCTGACCAGGTCCCTCAAAACCCTGCAGTGTCTAACTGTGAAGATGTTGGTCGTGCTGGCAAACAAAAAGAGATGTGAGGCTGTACCTGGCAGGTGCATGTGGGAGCAAGGGGCGCGTCCTCATCCCTGCCAACAATCTCAGGGGCTGACCTTGATCCCATGAATGGAGAACCAGCCCTGCAGTGCTGGGCAAAATGATCTGGCGTCCCACTGTTTGGCATATGTACCGAGAGTCTCCTGATTTAGGTGGCATCTGCCCTTGAAGGCTTGGGCATCCTTAGGTGATAGTTTAATTTCGTTATAGGTGTGTCTCTGTATAACGTTTTGTATCTAAATTAAATGTGATGTAACTAGCAGTTCGAAAGCAAGAAATTGCAAGTAGATAAATAGGTACCACTTTGGTGGGAAGGGAACAGCGTTCCGGGCGCCTTGGTGTTTAGTCATGCCGGCCACATGACCACGGAAACGTCTTCGGACAGCGCTGGCTCTTCGGCTTTGAAACGGAGATGAGCACCGCAACCCTAGAGTCGGACTCGACTGGCTTTCGAGCAAGGGAACCTTTACCTTTACCTGGTTCAAATTGTGAACATCTAGGTCAGGGTGGGCAGCCCTTTTGGTCTGTGCCCCCCCCCAAACCCTGCAGTGTCTAACTGTGCAGATGTTGGTGGTGTTGACAAACTAAAAGATCTTGGGTCTTTTTAATTTTTCATTGAATTTAATGGGTTCTCCCCCCCCCACTGAATTAATAATAGATCCTTCTTAAAATCTTGGAATAATGTAAAGGTGTACTTCTTTTTGTATGACTGGTCTAAGGACTGTAGAAATAAATTGATTGATCGATAATAGATCCAGGTGTGACCCCTTGATTTCTTTGTCTCCGCCAGGTTCCGGTTTAGTGGCCGAATCCTCGGTCTCGCTCTGATTCATCAGTATTTGTTAGATGCCTTCTTCACGCGCCCGTTTTATAAAGCCCTGCTCAGAATGTGAGTAGAAAACGTTTCCCGATTTCCTTGAAAAGGGGTAGCGCATTTAGTGGAACGAGCTGTAGATTTCTTGTCCGCAAAATGCCATTATAAAGTCGGTCCTTCTGATAGCACCCTTGGTTTTCCCCAGCTTATCAGTGGGGCAATGAAATGGGCCCGTCAACTGGCAATGAACAGGTTTCTGCAGCTTTTCGGGGTATAAGCGTTTGACAGTCAACGTTCCCTTGGTCAGATACAGTATCTGACCAAGGGAGCGTTGACTCTCGAAATCTTATCCCCTAAAGATCTTGTCAATTTCTAAGGGGCTACTGGATCCAGATCTAGCTGTTGTACTGCAGATCAACACGGCTACCCTCTGGAACTGTCTTCCTGCAGAAAACGGTAGCTTTGGAAGGTAGGCCTACGCCATTGTATCCCTACTGACCTCCCTCCCCCTCACCGGGGTCCGCCCCCCCCCAACTCAGCTGGCCGGTTGGGGGAGCCCTGCCCTTGAACAATCCAGCTGATAAGTAAAATAATTGATGTGGCAGAAATGGATAACTTGACGCAAAAGGTGAATGGGAACATGAATACGTTATTCCAAAACGTTTGGTCACCAGTGTACAGATGGCTAGACCAAGAGATGTGTTAACTGTAATTAGGAGGAGATCTGTTTCTGTGGTGAGGGTGATTGGGAGGTGGGGGGTTTAGGTGGGTTGGGGAGGTTTAGGTGGGTTGGGAGGTGGGGGGTTTAGGTGGATTGTGTTTGTGTCTGTTTTGTTTCTATGCATATAACTGTGTGGAAAACAATAAAAAATATTTATAAAAAAAAGAACAATCCCATCTGTGCCGACATGCCAGGCGCGATGACATCACACAGAGGTGACATCATTGCTCAGGGCACGTTGCAGGGGGGGACGCTCTAGCATTTGAGTTATTTCTCAAATGCTAGAGCATCCCCGCTGCAACATGCCCTGCGTGATGACATCACCTCTGGGTGACGTTATTGCAGCATGTGCACTGAAGGCTTCAGGAAGAACACGGAGGCCCCCCTCCCCGGGAAAACAGTAAGGACCTGGCGACCCTAGCATCCCCATGACCCTTAACAATTTATACTGCTCTGGAGGATAATGTTTTTGCCTTGAGACAAAGATGCTCAAAACTAAGGGCTGTGAGGGGATTTAGTAGGATGGGCTAATGGTTCCTCCACTTCTAAGTTTCCTTCTGCTAGGAGATTTAGGACTAGATTAGAACCAAGCAGGTCTCTTGCTCTTACACTGGAGGTGGTGGGGATTTTCCTAAGCTCCTTACCGCAATCCTCACACTTCCAACCTTTGCCCCCAGTGTGTGATTATCTAGCAGAATATCTAGCAGAAAGCCAAGCTGCAGGTTTTTAAATCCACGTTAAGGCCTCATTATGGGCATGTCTACTAACAAGACCTCTGGGTGCTCTTAATCAGAGGAAAGACTCGATATCTGCCTTTACCGTCTTCCGTTTCTTCTGCAAAATCTGACTACCTCTTTCAACCACGGCATTCGTGTTTTGCCACCACATAGAGATCCCGGGTGGCGAAGAGGAAGGCGATGCTGGTCAGGTTAGGGTTGCCAATCCCCAGTTGGGTCAGACAACAAATATATACGCTGCAAAAACCTTATTTATAAGTTAAAGTGTTCTGTATGTTCCATCTTATAAACTGCATTGTGTATTATTCATAATATTCTAATATTTTACACAATCAACCCTTAAGGATGTAAATTGACTGGTAGCTATTAGATTGTACAAACTGATTATTATTGTTGATATTGCATGTAATGAATAGCCAGGGCTCTTTTTGTAGAAAAAGCCCAGCAGGAACTCATTAGCATAATAGGCCACACCCAGCAGTAGAAATCCATTAGCATATTGGGCCACCCCCCTGACAGCACAGCTCATTAGCACATTAGGCCACACCCCCATGTTACCAGAAGTGTGGTTATCCAGCCACACCCACCTTTTGCTTGTTATTCTGTTTACCTTGTTTGTTGTCAAAACCCAGGGCTTTTTTGTAGCAGGAACTCCTTTGCATGTTAGGCCACACACCCCTAATGTAGCCAATCCTAATGAGTTCCTGCTGTTGGGTGTGGCCTATTATGCTAATGAGTTCCTGCTGGGTGTGGCCAACTCAGGAGCCAGCCGGAACTCCGTTCCTGCCCAAAAATAGCCCTGTATATACCTGTTTTAGAATATTATGAATAATACACAATGCACTTTATAAGATGGAACATATAGAACACTTCTCTCCTTATATATAATTGAGTAGTGGGTGCCAAAGTTCTAGTTCTAAAATGCACTCCCTTAGTGTATGGCTGATGGAACTGCTCCTCAGCATATAT